CACGATTCGTCTACATCCTGACTTGCCAAATGTCTCTTGATGAACTTTAGTGAATTTGTTTTTTTGAGGGTTATATTCTAATATCACTATTCTCCCCGAATCTGATCCAACAATTATATAATCTGTCGATAGATTTGGGTTAGCGCAAGTCAAACGACCCATAATTCATTACGCCTCGTCTCTGCTTGTTCTGCTATCTCATACCTTTTGATCCACCAGTTAATCTAAACGGCGTTAGTGATCTTATTATTCCAAATACGTCTTGAGTCAACAGCGTCTGTAGTTTTCTAGTTGTTGGATCCACTCTCCATAGCTCTAATCGTGTTACTCTTGATATAACTATTTCTTGTTGTTTTGTGCCTGAAAAGTGTCCTACTACTGCGCAGTTGATTGATGCTGGTGGCTGGAGAGTGATGTTGTATAGAAACATTGTCAAGCAGATGGGTAAATAGTTAACGTTACGAACCGTCCAAAAATCCCTTTGCCACAACTGACATTTCGTACAGGGGATAAGTATGATTTGATTTTCACAGGGGGTGAGCCGATGTGTGACATCAGGGACGCGAAACAGATTGTAAATGTGGTAAAAACCCACTTTCTCGATGCAATTGTCATCGCAAAAAGGGCATCTATCCAGGTATGTGGGGAGCTCATTTGCAAGCTCATTTGGAAGACATAGGCATGCTATTATCTCAAGTTTTGGGAAAAGTAGACAAGTAAATAAATAGTTTACAGATTTTGTAGATATAGATGTGGATTAATAATTTATGCAGTTGAAGATGACAATATATCCTAGCAAAGAGATTAGCAACAACTTTGTATGCTCAATTCAATTCTTGCTTCGTTTTATGATATTCAACGTACGTTTTAGAGTTCCATTCCGATAAGAAACAAATTCGATCTAACGTAAAATTAGAACGTGAAGGTATAGTATATCCACATCTCTGACCATTGAGACCAATAAGGACTGCCTTTCCATTATATAATAGGCGACGTGAACATATGCCATTATTTGCAATAAAAATAAAATGTGCTAATTAGTTGGGATATGCGTTCAATATTATATTCCGGGTTTACTCTTTGTTAGAAGGTGCTTGATAAATTTACGTGGGCCGGTTCACCAATGCTTTTTGTAAATATTGATGTCTAAATACGATGGTGATGTTGCAAAATAAACAACATTCCAACTTAACAGCCCAAACCTTTCTCTTTAGTATTGGTGAATTAAGACTGACTCGATGATTAAAAGCCGAATCATTTACATTTACCTGTTTAAAAGTATAACTGTATTCGAAAATTTTACATAGTAAAGTTTTCTTTTTAGATGTATGAAATAAAATTTTATATAATGACTTGCAGTAACTCGGTTTAATGCAGTAACTCGGTTTAATGCAGTAACTCGGTTTAATGCAGAATCTTTCTAATATTCGATTGAGAAAATATCGTTGTATCGTGTTATCAAGTTAGATTCTACATAAAACATAGTCGTTCCGGTAATGGCGATAATAAAGGTAATCAAAACACTAACAATTTGATCCTTTCCATCCCATCCAAACAGTAAAGACAAGGATGAAAAAAAAAAAAAAAAAAAAAAAAAAAAAACCCCAGCTAATTATGAAAGTGAAATTAATTAATTAACCAAAAGTCAGGAACTCAAACTTCGGAACAGCAAGGCGAAAATCAATAAATATAGCGGAAAAAGAAGCAGTGAAGGAGATTTATGATAATTGGGCAGCATGTACAATGCCCTCCAATAAATGAGTGAGTAACACAAAATTTTACTATGGTGCGGGAAATCTATACTAGACAATCACGTGACCCAAAATATTAAGCGTCTTTAAACTCCTTCAACTTTTTACACAGATATTATTTTTAAAATCTGACCGGTACTTTTGCTCTTCACAGTAAGCTCTACAAAGTTATCGGTCAAATTTTAAAAATAATATCTGTGTAAAAAGTTATAGGGTTGGTATACAATTTTATTATTTTAATATTATCATAATAAAAATTTTTGCTTATCATATTACGATACGATATTATTGGTCAATTAAAATTGAAACAAATCACGTGATTGTTCGAGTATAGATTTCCCGCACCATAGTAAAACATAAAAAAAAGAGACTTTTCTTATGTTTTACTAGTAAAATTTTGTGTTACCCACTCATTTATTGGAGGGCACTGTATCTGATTATGTATGAGTGCGCTTTGCAGGAGGTTCGGATTGTGCTAGTGGAGGGTGAGTACATTGGTCAACGGTTCCATTCACAGTTGATTCGTCGTTCGGGTGGTGATTGCAATATAGATTTATGTAGGACCGCTACTTGGTTTTATCTTCCACGGTTGATGGAGTTGTTGATTTAGTGTGCCAATAAATTGGAATTCTGAAGTCTCGCAGTACATTGCGTGGTCGATAGTGAATAGGATTCCGATACAACGTATGAGAGATGAATTTTTTGCGGATGTGAATGAATTTTTCAATCGTCCATCTGAGGGTTGGAGCAAGGTGATCGTTATTGGATTGTAGGAATCAGCGGATATATAAGGTTTTACTGGAAGAGGCAAATGATAAGTCAATTCTGTTAGACTTGCTTGTGTGTTGACGTGTCGAACTAAAGAAGTGATGGGTTTTGAAATGGGGATATTTTCTTTCGATAGAGATAGAGGGATACTCGTAGTGATGGTTATAAAAAGTGAACTTGCCAATGATTTGATAGATGAATTTTTGTTGTAAAGGTCGTAGGGGATAGTGCCTTCAGGTTGCGAAAGGGGATATTCGGGGAGATGGCTTGGCCTTTCTGTATGGTATATTTGGATTTTTGTCTTTAATCAGGGATATCACGCACGCAGAAGACTGTTGAAAGCATGGCGATAGATCATGATAGCGGTCGGTAGTCAGATCGGTCGATATTAATATATTTGGGTTGGTGTGAAGAAAATATGGCCCAGACAATATACTAGCCTTTTCTGTACGATAAATCATCAAATAAATAGAGCGACATGCTTAATTTGTGTAGATCAATTACTTTGATTTGTAATGTGCGTAAACAAACAAATTAACTTTAATATGTAGATATCTCATTCATATAAGGTACAACTCAATAAATCACGAGTCAAAATGCGCATTGAGAATAGATTTTGTAGATCAATCTTGGCGAGTTCAAACAATTACACATTTACCGGAAGAGCTTTATTTTTTCTCAGGTAACATTTCCTAAAACGACTAGATGATTTGAACAGGTGAGACATATGGTTGATTTTCTGATGGGGGATTTATTGACTCAAATGAACAATTTAGTGTGTAATAATCTTCAGCCCAGAACTTGTATTTTATTTCGTCGATAAATCATAGCGTAAACATAGTCCAAAAAAGTATAGTTTGATTGGTACTCGTTCCAACTGAGATGTATGAAGGGCGATGTTAGAAATACAAAAACAATTATTAATTGCTTGCAGTAAATATTAAAGATAATAAAAAAGAAAATTGAAGACATGTCAGATTAAATGGTGAAATGTAAAATGTAAGATTTGCTATCGAGGAAATATGGTTTGGATATTTCGATAGAACGATAACATCAGTTTATCCAGCGTTTTAGTGAAACGGAATGAAATAAGATTGTTTTATTTCATCACGAGCTAATCCAACTACGTGTGAAAGTATGCTAGCAGTGTTTTGGGAAAGGATCAGCTTTTCTGCAGGGGAACATTTAATTGCAAAAAAAAAAGTATTCGTAATAAGGAGGATTAATGATATCAGCTGAATATACCATGAACCAACGTAGTAAGTTGGCATTTCGGAAAGACGGCAGTAGAAAATAGTGTTCTTTCTATGCAATCTATATATTTATGCGATTGAAGGAAATTGATGGGACGGCAGACAAATTTGTTCATTCGTATTAAAGTAGCAAGCCTTATTGAAGCCAGTGACGGGTCTACTTGCATTGAGAAATAAAATAAAAGTTTATAGATTAATTACTGCGCCATATTTACATTACTGTGACCCACCGGGAGCACTTGTTCTAACGAAATGAAAAAATTTATACTACGTCATATTTATGTTACTGTGACCCGGCGGGATCCCACATGGTTCGGCGATCAGGATAATCGATATACCCTTTAATGCCGATGGACGATCATCATTCATATGTATTCAATCGCACGTGTATGCAGTATTAGGCTTTTAATTTTTTAATCATGTATAATAATAAATACATTGGGATATTGGAAAGATAAAAACTACATGAATAACAATGTGTATAAAGTGCACACTTCCACTGATATGACCATTGAAAACAGATATATTTTATTAAGAGCTGAATATTTACATGAAATGATGCTTCGCACTCAAATGGAACGTTGGTTTATGTATCGCGCTGGTAACAATCTACGAGACCGCGATTTTCATCAAACGCTGTATGGGGAACGGGTCCGTATTATTTTATCGACAATCATTTCACCGACAATTAACTACTAAAAAAGGATAAATTCGAAATAAAGTTGGTAAATATTTGTCGGTGAAATGATTGTCGATGAAATGATTGCCTCCCATGGGGAACACCCGTATAATCTAAAATAGTAACTAATCTCCTATAATAAATCTCCGAACAAAATATTTTCATGCGCGCGCGCGCGTATGTTTACGTAATACGTATCTACTATTCCGCGGGTATATATAGCACCACTACCTTTGAAACTTCCACGTCAATCGTTTCCTTGGAGGTGCAGACCGATGGTCCCACCTGTTAAAGTAGAAACCAATGTTATATATCACCGTTTTTATATCCTTCCGAAATGAAAAATTAATTAGTATAGAACAAAATGTAAGAGAAGCAGATAAAAAAAATAAAAAAGGTAAAGTAGTGAAAAGAACAAGAAGATATAAATAAGACCAGACTGTTTTATCAATTCCTCAAAAATCTCTGTTATTCTTATAAATCAACAACTTTTATTTCCATACCAATAATCTCTTTAAACAAAAACCGTTTGTTCAAAAAATAGCAATAATGAAATTCGCGATCACTATCTTTATTCTTTTGGTGTCCATTGCCGCCCTTGTTCAAACATCTCCTGTGGAAGAAAGAGGTGAATATCTTGATTATTTATTTACTAAAGTGTTTATTGCACTTGACTAATCTCAAAGAAAAAAATCATTAACTTCTTTGCATCTGTTGCTCTCAGGACCTGTTCTACGAGGAGAAGGGTATGCGAAATTCGTAAAGGAATACGATCATGCTATGTCAACTTTGCAAACTTCTCTAAAGGCAATGGATAAAAGAATGGATATATTTCATCGAAGAGTAATCCAATTTACTGCAATTGTACTCGACGATCCCAAGAAGAGGGCTATTACAGATACTCCTCCTGTGTATTTTCTAAAATTCGTAAATACTCATCAGAAACTTATGAATAACATTACTGGTGCTATTGATGCTGTGGATAGGGCTACATCGGATTTCAAGAAATCTGTTCATCATTAGACGTGAACTTTTTTCTAATTTATAATGTACAATGTACTTCACATTTTTTTTCTAATTTATATATATATAACGTATAATGTACAATGTACTTCACTTTCTTTTTTTTTTTACATTTTCCATCTTCGTATAATCATAAATAATTTAATTTTCTTTGTTAATTCAACCTTACCGTTTAAAATAAAGATTTTCCCATGTCTTTATATTGATCACACTGCGATCACGGCTCGATCATGGCTCATCACGGGCTACATCATGGCATAGTTGATGTCGTATACATAATAATCGCGTTTACTTTTGCATATACATGTATATTTCGGGATTTTATTATGTTGTATGTGCATATATGATCGATATAACTTCGATCGTGAACGGTTTTTTATCATGTGATTATGTATACATATAGTGCACTTTCTACGAAATATAAACTCACTTTTAAATATATCCGTATCTTATATAAACAATGTCAAACACACAATCCAAAAATAATTTGCTTGAAGAACAGAATTCTAAGCTTGAAGCCGAGATTTCCAAGCTTAGGAAGGAGAATGCTGAGATCAAGGCCGAAAATACAAAATTAAAACAGGATAAAGAAGACATTGAGGCCAGATTCGCGAAACTAGAGCAGAGTGATAAAGAAAAAACTGATCTTATTGCTAAACTGGAATGTGATATCTCACTAATTAAGCAGGCTTCAGTAACTTTGCAATCACTTATTTCACTGCCAATTAAAAATCATTCTGACAATACTTCCAAACAGATATCTCAAAAAGGTGCAGAAAATATATCTGATATGTCTAGCCACTCTGTGACTGCCTCCGGCAATTCTGATATGTCAGAAGTCTTCAACTCAATGTTCCACGTCATCTATCCCCACAAAAACTAAATCCCTGAAAGATAGTGTTACGGCAAGCTGATCTAATGAATCAGATAAGTAAGTCACATGATAAAATCTTCCTCCGCAGTCAGCAAACCCATGATCGACGCATCGAAGTTTAGCTTAGTTATACAAAAGTTAAATTAATAACGGCGTGTCGAAAAATCCGCAATAATAACAAACCGTTTCGAAAAATCCGCAACAGCACAAAATATTATAATTAGAAATAGTTGCGTTTTTCCGCAACAGCACAAAATACCATAATTGGAATTAGCTAAAAGAGCGTTACGTTTTTTTCGCAACGCTCAAAGATATATAAGTAGCTCATATTCCATCACCAAATCTTCATGTTGCAAATATTGTCCATGTTGTGAAATAAATAAAATATTACTGATCTTAGTAATATTCTCCCGCAATCCTTTATTATAAATA